GTGAGGTAACAACCCGTTATCCGAAAGAAAATCGATAGGTAGAACAAAAAGACAAATCTCGTCTTTGGGCAGAAATTGCAAATACCAAGATCATTGACCAATTAGCAACCTGTGTCACCTTTCGATAAATATATGTACAAATAAAATTGAGTTGATGAAGATGCCATAAGCAATTGTTTCAGTCATTTAGCAAAAAAACAAAGCACTATGGAAAGAACATTGTATAAATGATGAACCAAAGTGAATTAATCTGTTTCAATCCAAAATCGTTTCCATTTGCAAAAAAAATGACTTACATAACACGAGTACATATTAGTAAAGTCTCGTATCAATAAATAAATACATGTATAATTGTTTTTTTTTTCCACATGTGTCATAGTTTTATTAGCATGGGACACCACTTGCCGATATACCTATGTCATGTAACTTGTTCTCCATTCACTGATCCAAACTACACGACTGTCTTAGTAAAAACTAGAATTTCGTCATGTCAATACATCTTAGTTATTTAATTTTGTTCTTTGAAAATAAAGAAACATTACAAACTAAATCCTACTACCATACAATCAAATTAATAAGCCAAAAAATTAGACTAAGACTCTCTCTGTAACAAATTCTTAAAGAGGTTTAAGACTCTCTCCATAACAAATTCTTAAAGAGGTTTGTGATATGCCCTAACAATGGAATGGATAGCCTCCCACTAATAACTCCAAAAACCCTAGTCCGTTATGGGTAGGATGATGACGCAGGTAAATAACTCAATCCGTGACAAAAAAAGGAGGAGAAACGCGCCCTCCCTCACACTCAGACTCAGAAATAATGAAGTTTTCCATTTACTGTTTTTTGTTTTTCTGGCCTCACCTCACCTCAGCCTTCGTTTTTAACAGCTTGCCTCGTGGCTAGCCAGTAGCCACCCTATTCAACTCCCGTGTCTACGCTCCACCGCCACCGCCACTACCGGACAACTCCCGCTCACCCTTGTGACTCCAGGCTGCAATCCTCTGCGACACACATGCATCTCACCAATCCACCTCCACCCGCCACCTCACCACTCCAGTCCCACCGACACAGATAACGGCAACGAGGTCCCACTGATTTTCTTCGGATCACTTTCTACCTAATTCATCTAATTTAAGAACCGAGCTATTGAAATTTCAATAATCCTGATCCAAAACTAAATGAATTAGGTGGAAACGGATCCCTTTTCCTCCTCACTCCCTGTGCTTTTCTCCCTTTATCTTATGAAAATTTGCATGTGTCCCCCGTCAGCCCTTCAATAATTTTTTAAGAAAAAATCCATTAAAAAAGTCCAGTTCTATGGTATAATTTATTTCAGGGCTTCCAATCCAGTGTGGTAATGTGCATGGTTAAACCAATTGCCGGATGCCACGTCAGCGTAGTGAAATGTTGAGGAAGAGAAATATCGCTCCATTTCTGTAGGACAGGGGATTTCCCTTTTAGCTGATTCTCTGACCCAAAGTGTATCATTACCACGTCAAACAAGGGCTCACGTGTTAGGAATAAGATTCTCTCCCTTCCTATTTTTATCCTCTTTTCTTCTCTTCTCTTACATATTACTTTTTGTTTTATTATCTTTATAAAAAAAAAAAATATAAGATGTTAATTTGGCTTAACTTTTTGTTTTATTCTCTTCTCTCCCACTTGTTATTCAATACTACATTTTGGTAATATTTTTTTTTCACTTGTAAGTGAAAAGTGTTAAGTTCAAATCTCATGGATCTCGTGGATGGTGACTTCGATATTAAATTAGGTTGTCTATTGTGTGATTTATACGAATTCTTTCTCTCCTTAGTGTAAATTATTTTTACTCAAAAAAAAAAAAGGGCTCACTTATTTATTTGTTTATTTTCTCCAACTTTACTATGAATTTATTTATTTTGGTATGTATATTATCAGTTTACTCTGTGTCTACAAACACAATAATATAATTATGTTAAATTTATTTAAACTACGAAGAAAAAGATTTGAACTTGAATGCATATAATTGAATACATTAATGTATCCAACTTGGCTAAACTTATTTTTATTTATCTATTTAAAAGATAAACATATACTCTTTTTAGTTTTTCACATACTTCTATTTAATTCATTCAATTGAATAATAAATTAAAAAAAAATTAAAAAAACATGTGAAAACTTTAAAAATAAAAAGTGTGACATTTTTTACTGTTGTGAATGTGATTCTTCCTAGCTAGTAAATCTTATCTTAAAGCATTATCTGTCTTTTAGCTTTGCATGAATTACATTTGAAAATCTGTCCTCAACTGTGCCAGTTTTTAACCCCACAAACCAAAAGCATTTTCACTGTACAAACAAACACATGTGATATTTGCTTTTTGTTCCCTTTATAAAAATTTCAGAAATTATGACTAAGGTAATATACGTATTTGTCTTATCACCAATTGCATGTAAATATCTGACCGTAAATGCATGATTGTATAAAATCCGTAATCCTCAATATACTAGCTGCCTTTTTAAAGCGTGCTATTGAAGTATTTCTTTGGTTTTGAATTGTTAAAGCGGAGTGGGAGGTAGTGAGAAGTGATGCAAGTGCAGAGTGGGGAGGGTAAATTATAAGATTGTTTAGTACAAAAATATAGAATGGGTAACCAAGCCTAAGTGTCCGGCAAATAAGCCGCAAGTCAAAGTTTATATTTTGGTAGATCCATAAAAACAATGTATCCTCCCCAGATCTACCTTTGCACATAGATAGACACACAGACACAAAGGAAGTCAGCAACTGAATTCCCCAGTTGCTTTTTTCAATCATAGGTTTAAATTTAATTCTTTGGAAGATTGAGTGGGGCTCATCCCAGAAAGCCCATTCTCTCATACCTTTAAAGAGAATTTTTCTTGTTATAAAGAAAAAAAAAAGGTTTTAGTTTCCAAGTAAAAGGGGATTTAGTATTACGATGTAGTGATATTCTTCGTCACTTATAACTTATAAGTGAGAGGTTTTAAGTTCAATTTTCAACAAAGGCTAAGTTAAGTCATATTATTGCTAGCTCATTGTGAGGTTTAGCTTACTCTCCCACCCCTTATTGCAGATAAGGGTTAAAGTAATATAAGGGAGAGAATTTTTGTAAGAGTTTTTGAACATTAGTCCTTAAAAAAAAAAAATTGAAATTAAAAAAAAAGAAAAACTTGTTAGATTACATATTGATTTTAATCCCTTGAAGTGTATTTCTATTAAAATTCATATTCTTTTTTTTTTTTTGTTATTTAATGTGTATTTTTATTTAATATCTCCACATTATAAAAGTTTTGATTCTAGTAATATGCACATTTTAGTTCTTCTAATTATAAATAAACTTAAATGATAAAACATTGAAAGACATTAGTGACAGATAAGAAAACATATAAGTGTACGAAAATGACTGTATCGAAATATGTTAAATTGACTTTTTATACCGAAATCTCTATACCAAAACATATTATAATGAATTAGTGTACCTCAATGTTTGTACCGAACTATGTTTGTACCAAAATCTTTGTACCTTAATATTTGTATTGAATTATAATATAATGAATCGAAATGTCTGTACCTAATTGTATTATAGTGAATTTGAGTACCTAAATATTTGCACTGAAATATATTTATAATGAGTTAATACTTAAATATTTGTACTGAAATATTATAATGAATTAGTATAAACTTAGAAAAAGAAAAATCATGAAATTACCAAAAATAAAAATCACATGAATTATTAATGTTGGCATTTAAATAGAACCAATGGACTAAACTTAATTTTTTTATCTTGTATCGAGAATTAATCTAAATTTCATCTTATTTAAGGATTAAATCTAGTTTTTTTTTTAATTTTTTAAATTTTAAATTTTTTTTATAGGTTTAGAGATTCATTCCTTAATATTACACAAAATACGAGTTTTTGGTTTAAAATAACAGGTTTTTACCAAGATTCAGTATGTTAAATTATATTTAAAAATGGTTCAATGATTTAAAAGTTAACTCAAATCGGATTCTGTTTTAAATTGTTCTTTTACTATATTAAATGAAGTTAAATATATTAAATACATATAAGTATTGCAGCCAAATTTTAAATTGTATAGTAGACATGAATTTTTGCTTTTCAAAATGAAAATATACTTTAACATTACATTTTCACACTCACAGCAAACCAATTTTACTTCTTGAAATATCCTAATAAAGATGTCACTGGAGTTGTAAAATGTCTGTTTACATCCTCAATTTCACATCTTTACATTAAAGTTGTTATAAGGTGATAATAAAGCAACGAGACATTCTTTGTGACGGCAAAAGAAGACCGTCTATTTAAGAAAACAAACGACTATCTCGTCAAAAAGTTCAAATAACATAAACATAGTTAATTGAGGGGATATTATATACTGAAAACTCATTAGGGGTACGCTTAATAAGTAATTAACAACATTCACAAGGTTTTTGAAATCTTATAACGAATTTTCTTTCTCGAAATTTCACTTGTACAAAAAACAAAAAAAAAAAACGTTGAAATTTCAGAATACCAAATTCACCAAACATCTCTATAGTCGTGAGATAAAGACTAGTGAGTAGTGATACCAACTCATATAGATCAAAACTAGTCGGAAGGAGGTCTCCTTCGTGGAAGACCATGTGGCTCTACTGGCGACCAAAATAATTTGAATGCCAAATTGGGAAGAATTTGGGGCATTTGATATCACATTTGTGACTCCGAAAAAGTGTGAATTAAGAATTTACAGCAGGCGGTGCACTACCTCTCCTGCATGGTAACACATAGCGTGTTCTTTCTGCATATATTAAAACAATTTCTTAACTATATACAATCAATATTTATATATATATTTATACTCTCTCTATAGTTCTGTATTTTCTCTTTCATGTTACATAGTATTCAGTTTTCACGAGCTCTGTCGTGATTGGATCGGTATAAAATCCTCTCCCTCCCTCTCTCTCTACTCTCTCTCCACTCTCCTCTTTTTCTGTCAGCTAAGCATTTCAGCGAAGAGGGAGAGACCGACCCAAGTGAGGGATGAAATCGGAGTCAGAGCAGCACAAGTGTTTGTGGCAATAAACAGACCGAGCGAGTCCATGGACTCATACTGATTTCCTTCCAACAATTTCTTGGCTCTTCTTTTCTGTTTCTTTCTCTTTATCCATTGCCCTCTGCTCTTTCCCTAATTAAAAAGGTACTGTTTTTTCTGCAACTACTTCTTTCACTTTTGCTACATTTGGCTCCTTCTGCACAATGGGTAACCACCGTTTTTGCTATCGGTGGATTGATCTCAAATGGGTTTTGCTCGCTTTGTCCTTCTGGGTCTTTTTTTTCACACACTGAAATTTGAGTATAAATATGCGTGCCCTTTTGCTATTAGTTCATTTGGGTAGTTGAAAGTGATTTAATTTTTTGGTTTTTTTGGGTGTGGGAAGTGATCCAAATCTTTAGTTTATGTGTAAATGCATCTGCTTTCTGCCTCTTAATTTCTGCAAATCTTAATTGTTCTGTCTTCCTTTTTTTTTTTTTTTTTTTTTTTTTTGTTCTGGGTTTATTCTTCCCAATTGATTCTTGGTTAAAGTGATTTCCTTTTCTCTTTAATCTATCGAAGCGTTTACGGGGTCTGTCTTGCAGCTTGGTTAATGGATCTAGTGAGGGAATGATCATACTTCTCAGGGAATACTTTTGATTCATTCCTTTTTTTTAAGCTTATTTGATGAAGTTATGACCTCACCAGAAAAATAAAGCTTTTTTGAATGATGAATTATGCAATTTTCTTAGGATTTAAGTGAAGAAAAGTTGTGGGTTTCTGTCTTTTTTTTCACCTTTCAGCTTGTTTTTCTCTTGTTTGAGCTTTCCTGGATGTCTTTTGGTTGTGTATGATTTTTAATTTTATCTATTCTTTTAACAGACTCTTGTTCCGCGGTCTGCATCGATTGAAATCAAAGAATGGTTAGACCTCTGCATCGAGGTCCGTCTGGGCCGCGGATATCTGGCAGTAGCAATGATTTTTTTAACTCCCAAATGAAAGATAAAACAGATAAAGAAGATTTGGACAGAAGAGCTTCTTCGGATAACAATAGTTTGGCATTTAAATTTCCCATTCGAGTACTTTTTCCGGACAATTCTCCTTCCAAACATGGAAATACCGAAAATGGCTTTACATCTGATCCCTTCATGGCTGGTACTCCCAGAAGTCGGCACAAGTTAGCACTGCTACTGTTGAAGTTAAGTTTAGTTTTGATTGTTATTCTAGCTCTTACCGGATCCTTTTGGTGGACACTCTCCATCTCAACAACTTCAAGAGGTCACATATACCATGGATACCGGCGACTCCAACAGCAACTTGTTTCTGACCTGTGGCATATCGGAGAGCTTTCTCTTGGTTCTTCAAGGTTGAGAGACTTGGAGTTTTGTCCTCAGGAGAACGAAAATAATGTTCCATGCTTCAATGTTTCGGAGAATCTTGCCTTAGGTCTTGCTGATGGCAACGAGTATGACCGGCATTGTGAGAATGGGATGAGGCAAAATTGTTTAGTTCTTCCACCTGTGAATTATAAGATTCCTCTTAGGTGGCCTACTGGTAGAGATGTCATCTGGGTGGGGAATGTGAAAATAACAGCGCAGGAGGTACTTTCTTCTGGAAGCTTGACGAAGAGGTGAGCTGGGATTTGTCTTGTAAGCGAACTTTGCTCTAATTCTATTAACCTGTCCTGGTCTTGCATTAATTTTGAGTTTCCGTATGCTTACAGGATGATGATGTTGGAAGAAGAGCAAATTTCATTCCGTTCAGCCTCCTTGATGTTTGATGGTGTTGAAGACTACTCACACCAAATTGCAGAAATGATAGGACTGAGAAATGAATCCAATTTCATACAAGCTGGGGTAAGTGGATTGGAATTTTTGTGTATTAGTTGTTGGAGCCGACCCCACATAACAATGGAATCATTTGTTATCCTGTTCCTTTCTCTTGATTGATTCCCTTCGTGTAGTTTATTTCACTTATATTTAGGTAGAAGTTTAGTTAAGCCAGTTAACAGCTTTATTTTAATGCACATAATCATATTAAACAAGAAGGGGTTAGGAATATTATGTAGAATTTAGGCCAAGCGGTTAACATCTTTATTTTAATGATGTTAATCATATTGAACAAGAAGGGGTCCTAGCCTAACGCCCGGTCCAGAATATTCAGTTTACAAAATGAATCAGCATCGTTTTTTTATGTGGTAGTTGGAATTTACATGTGGGTTAGTCAAACATCACCATTGGCATGAAAATTGCAGCTCAGGTAATAACCAGTTCAAACTGTTTCAAGTGTGTTTACGTTTAACATTGCTAACTCCAAAAGAGACTGCAAATACTTTATAACTCCTTGGGGTATCCTACCAAGTTGCCTTTTTAGCTTTGGTTCCATTATACGTGTTCATATGAACCCATACGTACCACCTAGAAGGGTACATGTCATATCCATTGGTTTCTGATTCATGATTGATCGTTACAGAAAATCTTATATATGGATCTGATTATGTCAAAGACAAATAGAGCATACTGTTGTTATATTGTGATCACTTGTAGTGTATTTTCTCTGGGATGCACTGCAACACAGTTATGTGCCATATGGACTATGGTCTGCAGACGCTTGTGTCTATGTACATATTGTCAAGATGTGTGGTGGTTGCACTGAATTTAAATCTCTGCTTTTATGTTTGAATTGGTGAATGAAACTGTCAACATTAATTCTGCAGGTGAGAACCATCTTGGATATAGGATGTGGTTATGGTAGTTTCGGAGCACATCTCTTTTCCAGTCAGATCCTAACTATGTGCATTGCAAACTATGAGGCTTCAGGAAGCCAAGTTCAGCTGACTCTTGAAAGGGGTCTTCCTGCAATGATTGGTTCTTTTATTTTGAAACAGTTGCCTTATCCATCTCTCTCTTTTGATATGTTGCATTGTGCACGATGTGGCATTGATTGGGACCAACAAGGTAATGCTCATCCTCTTTAACAAGTGTTTTCTTTCTGTGCCTGCATATACCGTACGTTTTAACCAACACTAATAACCTACTGCTTCTAATTGTACTCCATGAAGTGCATATATTTTAAATGTTCAGTCTGCATTATGTTGTTGTTTTCTGTAATAGAATTCTTTCTGTATTAAAGAGTTTTCAGAAATATAATTAGACATAAAGTTTTTGGATTTTGCAATTTTGTTGAGAAGTGGGATTGCTGAAAACATCACATTCAACCATTAATATACTAATAGGAGAAAAGTCTTCAGTAACAGAAACAAGTTGATGTGATGCACAAACCTTTGCTTGTATAATCTCAGAATCTGGACTGTGAGTTTGAGCACCTTCATATTCACTCTGAATTTCTTGATCTGGATGGGTACATATTTACCGTATATTAATCATATGTACAATTATGTTATGTGCTACAGATGGGATCCTCTTGATTGAGGTTGATAGAGTTTTGAAACCTGGTGGATACTTTGTCTGGACATCACCTATTACCAATGCCGTGACATTTCGTCGTAACAAAGTGAATCAGAAAAGGTGGAACCTCGTACGTGATTTTGCAGAAAATCTATGCTGGGAGATGTTATCTCAGCAAGATGAAACAGTTGTATGGAAAAAGACTAGTAAAAGGAATTGTTATAGTTCACGGTAAGGAAACTAACATGGATTTTCTTTTGAATGTGGGATCATAAGTGTTTGGTCTTTTAGTGCACAAGAATAAGAGCCAAAACTGATATGTAGTGCAATCGACTTATTTCTTCAGGAAACCAGGTTCAGGTCCCTCTATATGCAGCAAAGGTCATGATGTTGAATCTCCATATTATCGACCACTCCAAGCCTGTATTAGTGGAACTCAAAGCCGCAGATGGATTCCTATTGAAGAGAGGAAAACCTGGCCTTCTAGGGCTAATCCGAACAAGAGTGAACTTGCCATATATGGTAATTGTTATGTTCTTGATATAGCGTATTTTGTAGAGAAAAAAAATGCATTGCTCAGCCACTGACTAGTCTATTGTCTCCTAATTTGTTTTCGTGAAAATCATATAATTCATGTGTATTGAAATTTTCATGCAGGATTACATCCAGAAGAACTCACTGAGGATGCTGAGATGTGGAAAATGGCAGTACGGAATTATTGGTCTCTTTTGTCACCATTGATATTTTCAGATCATCCAAAGAGACCTGGCGATGAAGATCCTTCACCGCCCTATAATATGCTTAGAAACGTACTAGACATGAATGCTCATTTTGGTGGTTTTAATTCTGCATTATTGGAAGCTGGAAAGTCCGCATGGGTCATGAATGTGGTCCCAACAAATGGACCCAATTATTTGCCCTTGATCCTAGACAGGGGATTTGTTGGTGTTCTGCATGACTGGTAAAGCTACTTTTTTTTTTTTTCTCACATTTTTTCTTTACAATTACTCTTAAGCATGATGTTTAACTTGGAACCTCTTAACCAAATTTCATCTGCAAAAGACCACATGTTGGCTTAGATAGAATTGCTTGCGATCTGAAGTCTTGTTGCAGTGAATTCTTTTTTTTTTCTTTCTTCAAAGGAGCCCACCAGTTTACTATCACATGGATAGGATATAACGTAGATTACTTACCAGGGATTTTTCTGTCCTGGATGTTTAGTAGGCAGCTTAGTGATCCTTCCCTTTTGTTAATCAGTGGCGTAAAACCAAACAGGAATTTTCTTTCATAAAAAAGACTTCTAGCACTTCGTATTATGCTGACTTTACACAGGTTTAATGGGTAAATTCTTGATGGGGGAAATAATTAAGCAGTAAAATCCTTTTGTAACTTCTTATCTGGAAAAAATAAAAATAAAAATGCAGTGCATACTGAGGGATGTCATCATACTATTGGTTTGTGAGAGGACATTTGTAACTGTTGAATTACTGAGCCCAGTGGATTGAATTTGACATAAAAGTGGTATTATCATGGTTGAAAAGTTGATTTGCCTCCAGCATGTTTTACATCATGTTCTGGAGTCTGGAAGCTGGACTCATATCGTCATTTGTACTTGTTGTAAATGCTACTTCGTTGTTCCTTTGTAGGTTTTTGTTTTAACAAGAATTTTTATCTGTTTCTAGGTGTGAACCCTTTCCAACATACCCAAGAACTTATGATATGGTGCATGCAGCAGGACTTCTTTCCCTTGAAAGTGATCATCAGCGCAGATGTACCATTCTTGATCTATTCACAGAGATTGATCGATTACTTCGTCCAGAGGTACCCATATTAAATAATTCTCATCACATTTCATCTACTACGGTTATTTTACCAGTCCTTATATTCCATAATAGTTTTGGTGAGGCAGAAGAACTAGTCGGACATGTCACATGCACCATCATTTCTGGATGTTGATTATCATGCAAGATTAGAGAGCATATAATTTCGAAACTGTTGTTGGCGCTCCAAAAATCTCCTTGTGCTCTCCTCACATGTGTATATTTCTTTCTAAAGATAGATAGTTTGGAGTGCACAATGAGAATTTCGGATTGCCAATAACAATTCCCTATGGCTTTTCGCACTCGAGATTGAATTCATTGCTATGCAAAGTTTGTCAGTAATGTTATTCATAGGTTTACAATTTAAACAAGATGTAAGTTTTGTGGGTGATTTGTAGAGAAACTGCATATATGGATCTGTGGAGCTATAATACTTCAGATTAACAATGAAAGTTTTATTTGGTTTGGTGGTACAGATAATGGTGGTTGGCTTTATCTCTTGCAAAAAAATAATGGCTGTTGGTTTTGTGCGTCTTCTAATCATGCATGGAAAATAATGGCTGTTGGTTTTGTGCGTCTTCTAATCATGCATGGTTTATTTTCCGTACGGGTAGTTTGCCTTTAACCTAAAGAATGGAATAACTTTTAAGATTTTCTAGGACAGTCGCACATCAGTTCTTATAGATGTGTATATATCTGTTTACATGTAAGGATGCAACTGGCATACACAATTTTGTCTTGTTTTGTACAGTTTCTTATACCGTCAAGGTTTATAGAAATTAACAACAAAGTTAACTCGAGTTCCACCAAAACACAATAGACCACTTACAGTTGCTATGTAGGACGGCTTTTTGTTTGCTTAGTTATGTTTGTATTTTGAACTCTTCTGATATTAGTGATTGTTTACAGGGTTGGGTGATATTCCATGACAAAGCTGCTCTCATCGAATCAGCAAGAGCTACAGGGCTGAAATGGGAGGCACGCGTGGTGGAAATCGAAAGCAACAGCGGTGAAAAGCTCCTCATCTGCCAAAAGCCTTTCTTCAAGAAGCAAGCAAACTAATAAAGCAGTTTCCAAAGGGGAGCCTGAGATACACGGTGGTAATATCACTCGATTCATATTCATTTACTTATTTTACTCAATCATCATAAAGCTCTGCCATTGAAAGGAGAGGGAACCAAGATTTTAGGACAGACGAAACCAAAGAAACAATACGACGCCTATGGAGCCGGTCGTAAGGCCGCCATAGGACATAGGGTAATGTAATTATTTGTGGTATTGAGGTCCGGAGCAAAGTGAGAGAGAGAGAGAGAGAGAGAGAGAGAGAGAGAGGAGTGTAGATTATATTTTTAATCTTCCATGTAATTTCTCGTTGTTACTATACAGAACCACATGATTAAGATTGTGAAGATCATCACAGCATAAACAAATGCAGTCAGTTTGTTATAGTGTATAAAACATGCTTGTCAACGCATTTATGTCAAGCACCCTCAGCCTCAATGGTAGATTTAATTACATTTCAAAGCTTACAAATCACGAATCTGGCTACAATATTTACATGTGTTTGATACAAACACATTTCGTGTTTTATCCCTTAGAAGTGGCAAATGGCATTAGTTCTTCATTTAGTGGCGTGTTTCTTTTTTGATATTGGAAGAAGTCTCAAATTCAAATATTTGATCGAAAAACTTTGAGATCTATATATTTCTCAATCAAGTGTCAAAAATTAAAAGATCCCATATTATTTATTTTTACTATAATTTCTCCGAAGATCATGACCACCTTCCTAAAATAAATCTCGTCCTTATTTTCCATTGAAAACTTGGTAAAGTACAATGCAATTTGATTTTGGGAGTTCTATCTATACAATCTAATATGCTTAAAATTATAGAGAGATTTCAGATTTGAAGTTAAGTTATACCTATTGGCCTCGTTTGGTGATGAATTGAATCAAATAACTCATTAGATTCAAAATACGTTGAATATGGATTATGGAGAAATCGATATTGAAGTTTGTTAAGTTTATTTAAATTCTAAATTTTAGGGAAGATTTAGGAAAACCAATGGAGTTGCTAATTTGCATTTAGCCCACAAGATTTAAGTCTCGGATTCTCAGTTGAGCTGGTAAAGCATCCATGGCGTTTTGGCGCCTCCTCATTTCCAAAACCCTAAACCCTAAACCCTCACCTCCCCTCCCAAACACTAACCACTCGCCGCCCTCCCTCCTCGCTCTCCTCCTTCTCCGCCAAACCTCACCGTTCTCCACCTCCTTTCTCATCACCAAAACCCCAAAAAAATTCAGAAAAAGCCGCAAGAAGGACGAAAGCCCCCGAACCAAGCTCGTCCAGACTCAACCCAACCTCATCCCCCACTTCGAACACATTGTCGAGCGCGACGCTTACTTCCGATTCCTCTCCAAATCGAAAGACTTCCTCTCCAAGCAGCCCCACCGCGTCATCCGCCTCGATGATGCCGGCAAGCTCTACCGCGAACTCGGCTTCCCTCGCGGCCGAAAGGTCGCCCGATCCCTCCAGCGCCACCCCCTCATCTTCCAAACCTACTGCCACGATGACAACAAAATGTGGATCGGATTCACCGACCTCATGGAAGCTCTGCTCGAAGAGGAGCGAGTCATAATGGACTCAATGGAATCGGACCGAGTCAACAAGGTTCGTAAATTGCTCATGATGTCCACCAACAAGCGTATCCCTTTGAGTAAAATCTACCATTGCAGGTCGATTTTCGGAATTCCTGAAGATTTTAGGGACAGGGTTTCGAAATACCCTAATTTTTTCAGGATTGTGGTTGAGGAGGATGGGAAGAGAGTGCTTGAATTGGTGAATTGGGATCCGTTGATGGCGGTGAGCGCGTTGGAGAGGGAGTTTATGGTGGATGAGGAGAGAGTGAAGAGGGCTTTTCGGTTTCCAGTGAAGCATGGGAAGGATTTGTGCCTGGAGATAGAGGATGAGAGGAAATTGAACATGTTGAATTCGCTTCCGTTGGTTTCGCCTTATTTGGATGGATCAAGATTGGACCTTTGGACTCTGGAAGCGGAGAAGTACAGGTTGGGAGTGTTGCATGAGTTTTTGAGCTTGACATTGGAGAAGAGGGCTTCCATACACCATGTTGTGGAGTTCAAGGAGGAGTTTAGCTTGACCAAGCATACTTATCAGATGCTGTTGAAGCAGCCCAGAACGTTTTATCTGGCCGGGACGGAAATGAACTGGGTTGTTTTCTTGAAAGATGCTTATGACCGAGACAGGGTTTTGATTGAGAAAGATCCGCAGGTGGTTTTCAATGAGAAGTTGTACAAGTATGCTGATATGAAGGAAAGGGAACAAGGTTTTGTTGATCAGTGGAGGTGATGAGAGGGTTTTAGGCAAATTTGAGTGAGTTCATTCTTTGCTTGAGCTTCAAGGAAAATTGGGTAAAGGCCCAAACTTTATGTTGTATAATGTACTGGAGGAGTAGCATTCTTAAGGAACCCTGGGGCTACAACAAAATCGACAATTCAGATGCATCATAGTTATCTTGGCTGGTCCTTGACAGGACTGTGTCTTGTGTTTCTAGCTTTTTGAAGTCATAAGAGAAATCATGTGATATGAACCTTGGGGCACTATGTGGATTTTTGGATATATACATCATCAATGATAATCCATATATTGACATTTTGAGATGAAGGTGTGCGAAAATTACGCCTCCTAGCTTTGAGTTGCAGCAGGAGTCTTCATTTCTTGTTGATCAACTGGACCTAGGGTTAAAGTGATCATTCATCATACGAAAATCTCAACTGGGAATTATGTGAACTGGGGCAGTCGGGTACTACTGAACAAGGATTTACTTCAATAGCTGTCAAGTTCTACTGTAATTGCTTTGCTACTAGATTTCAGGTACTATATGATTGGTGAAAATGAGCTTCATAGAGAGGTGTAGCATTGATTGGCAGTTGGAATCTCTTAGCCAAGTGAAGCCAAAGATGTACAATATTCATGTCAACAGGTTTTTGTATCCCTTCAGACCTTGAAGAGACACTGAAAACAACAGAGCCAACAGGGCTTTGTCTTGGATGCTAGTCTCAGGTAATTGAGGTATTGTTGTGTATATGAATTATCCGAGCATCTCCAATGATATGTCAAATTATTACGTGTTTATGAATTCTTTCAACCGAGTAGTCAAATCCTATGTAAAGATTTGATACATCATAAGATTACGCCGAAGATTTGTTTTTGTTTGCAAGCATTATGATCACGATGTTTTCCTGCAATTCTTTCCACATCAAATTGTGGTCCAATTATTTTTCTTTGGTGGGACATAAATAATGCTGGCCTAAATGATCATCTCCAAACTGTTAGTCTGAGCTGTCTCTCAATAATGTGCCAAGCTTTGTGAATGTTCTTCAACTGTTACCTATATCTTACGGCCTCGTTTGGTTGCTCGGAATGCTAGAGTGGGAATAAGAATTCAGTTCATTTCCAGGACTATCCTAGAACGGAATGGTTATAAAAATTCCATTTCGGTGTTTGGAACAACTGATGGATAAGAGATTAGGAATTTGACACCTTTCCAATAACAAACCCCTGCTCCTGTTTCTCTCTCTTATTTCTTATTCTTTTGAAAACATAGGACTACTTAAATTGCTCACAAACAGTACGTGGAATAACACCCCGCCTGGGATTTTTCCGACTGGCTTGCATCATTTAAATCCGATAGAGCTGCTTGGTACATTGTCGATATTATTTGTTATCAACAGAAGATGAACAAACTACCGAAGACAACCAGCCTATCAGGTACTAGAGATTGGCATCCAGCACCGGATATTCATTTTCCAAATTCTTTAGCTGTTTTGGATGTATCATGCAGTAGGTTCAGGTAGCTGCATCTGTGTTGGTTTCAAATATAGCCTGTGACCATCTGATCGCATGCTAAACGAGATTCGGAAATTGGGACAAAAAAGCAGCCTGAATATATTAACCATGGAAAACTGAAACATGAAAACCACCAGATCCTTTGTAGCCCGAGAGACTTTTGAAGAAACACCGAAAACATCAGGCAAGGGAAAACACACCCAGAAATTTTATGTCAAAATATTTGCGAGTCCCCTAACTTTGGAAATTCTAATGCGATAAAGAGGGGAGTTCAGATGAATCTCTGACCATGCTCTTCGTCTTGCTTAGGTTTCGCTGTACAACACTTGCCCCGGTGTTGTGCCCGTGGGTAGGAAGTGATGAGCTTTTCTTCGATGGCAAGGCATGAGTATTTTTAAACGATGCACTTCTCTGGCTAAGCTTCTTGCCGGATTTTCTTCTAGGGTTCCATCCTTTGTTCCCAAGTGCAGCTTTGGCAACACTGTCTGTGACTACCTCCCTTGCCCTTTGTGGCTTGATGGACTGCTTGTTCAGGTACACTAGCTTTGGGAGGAGACTGCAAACTGTCTTGCGTAGTTGCTCATCGCCGAAGTTGTGCTGGATTGGATTCCCCAATAGATTCACAGCCTGCAGTGAGTTGTAGTTAGCCACCAGCTGGCCCAGCGCCTTTGTTGTTGTGATCTTGTTGAAGCTCAAGTCCAGAACTGTTAGCTTCAGTAGCCTATGCAGGCCCTCAACATCACTGATCTTGTTCCCGGTAAGATATAGCTCCTTCAATACACTACAGCTTGATAACCCTGGCATCGTGAAAATCCACCGAGTCAGTGACTGGAATGATACATTTTACTAGGGAAAGCTTGTATTCTGATGTCAACTAGAGGGTTGAAAATCAGAAGGATTTAAACTTACCACGTCCGATTCTAGAAATTCGGTTGTAACTGAGATCAAGTACTCGCAATCGGGTTAAGTCTCTTAGTCCTTCAATGGTGCTGAGCTTGTTTTTGGACAAGTCGAGTGTGTGAAGGCTCTTCGGCAGCAACCCTGGAGTAATGTTGGCTGCAAAAGTAGAAGGACAAGTAACCAAGCAACTTGGTTAGCTATATAAACCAGTACGTTTTAAGTATTAACTCCTACAATTTATTTCTTTACCTATGAAGTTGTTCGACAAGTTGACAGACCGTAGACTGCAGAAGCATGAAATGTTGGGGATAGCTTTCATGCCCATACCAGATATGTGAGCCACTGTTGAGGAAGAATTTAGAGACTGGATCACAGTATTAGCATGTAAGGTATCCTCTTCAAGACCTTGGCTGAAGTAAGTGGCGCTTTTCGATCTAGCAGTCTCAGGAGTCATGGGAGACTTTGGAGTCTTAGGAGTGGGTGGTGTTTGTGGGGAGACAATTCCCTCGTGGTCATCTTCATTATTTTCAATGGAGGTTTGTATTCTGAGATCTTTCATCCACTCTTGCACTCTTGAAGATGATGAGGGTTCTGTCGAGAAAGCAACCCACTGGTTCTGAGGCCATAAGTCCGACACACCAATGTGAAAACCACCCCAGCTCTTGTTGTCATCTACAATGTTCTTCCCCTTGTCCAAGGATTGTCCAGTATATGATAGTGGTGATTCT